TTTTTTTTTTTGAGGAACCAGGGATTGAACTCAGGCTCTTGTGCTTGCCAGGGAAGCACTTATTCCACTGAACCATCTCCCCGGTCCCCCAAAGTCTTAAAGGGATAGCTAATGGTGGAACATCTCCACCACCAGATCTGCCACCCTGTCAGACTACCAGAGTTGGTTACTTCAGTGACTGGGTACATTGGAAAGCCTGTAGAGAAGAGGCAGCCCAGGTATTTGCTAATACTTCTGATGGAGGTGTCATAGATTGGAGCCCTTATGGCTCAGCCCAGATGGCAGAAGGGAAGAAGTTAAGATGAAAACAAAATGGCTGTGATGAGATTTATACTAGCATTAACAATACCTATGATACAATAATGTGACATGGAGGATAAATATCCCCTAGCATCTCTCATGTTCCTGGGGGACCTATTCAACATCATCCTTGGAAGTTAGCTACCTCTTTAAAGCATAAGTCAGCATAAAAAGGTTATATTTGGAAAAATCTATCCTCTAATTCTTTACATCTAAAATTTAAAAATAAAATAAAATAAAATTTTAAAACACACACACACACACATTTTACACAGACATATATGTTCGCCTCCCTTACCTGTTGCTTGTAGGACCTAGTTATTAAAACCTTTATAATTGTTCTATTTCTTGTCACAATTATTCTTTTTTAATGTATTTAGTACAATATCTACAGGGTCTCACTACACAGATCGGAATGGTAGTGATTCTTGTGTTCTCAGCCTTCCAAACCCTGGGAGTACAGGCATGCTACCACACCCAGTCTCAATCACCATCTCAGCATGCCCCGTCACCACTATGGCTCGCTGGGAATTGTGGGGTTTTTTTTTGTGTGTGGAACCAGGAATTGAATTCAGGCCCTTACCCTTGCCAGGGAAGCATTTATTCTACTGGGCCATCTCACTGGCCCCTGTTTTTTTTTTTTTTTTTTTTTTAATGTATTTGTACAGAGTCTCACTGCACAGCTCAGATTTGTAGTGATCCTATTTTTAAGCCTCCCCAGCACTGGGATTACAGACATACACCACCACACTGGACTCAACTGCCGCACCTGGGGGTGGGGCGGGTGGGGCATGTGGTACCAGGGATTAAACCCCAGTCACTGCACTTGCCTAAGCAGGCACTTAGTCCACTGAGCTATCTTGCCAGTCTACAATTATTCTTTATATACATGTCTAAATTCTTCTGTTAGCTTCAACTTTTCTAGGGATAGCATTTATATCCTTAAGGTAGAAACCAGAATTTGGCTTGCTATACAACTACAATGCCCTTGGCAAGATGCTGTTCCAACATTTGCAAGAGACACTAAAGAAGAAAAATAAAACAAAACAAAAAAAGATTGGGCAGGGGAGATAGCTCAGTAGAATAAGTGCTTGCCTAGCAAGCGCAGGGTCCTGAGTTCAATCCCCAGTACCAC